CAACGTAAGGGAGTTCCAGTTACTCCACATCCTTGCAACATTTGATGTTTTAACAGTGTTGACTGAAGAGCAAAAGTCTTAATAATGTTAACTTACCAATTTTGTTTTTTAGTTTTCCTGTGTACTAAGAAGTGTTTATCAAACCCGTGCCACAGAAGCCCTAAAATTTGTACTGCCTGGTGTGGCACCAAGTTGGGCTGCTAGCCTCAAGGTCATCATTTTGAAACTACCAGCTGTTCTGAGGGAAAAAGATGAGGCTTTCTGCTCCTAATTAGGATTTACTATACAGTGTTGCTATGAGTTGGAACTAACTCCATGGCACATAAACAAGAAACCAACCTCTAAAAAAATGTTTATCAACCCAAGATCACTAAGATTTTCTCTTAGGTTTTCTTCGAAACATTTTATAGTTTTAGCACTTAGCTTTTGTTTAATTTTTTTGTGTGTGTGTCTATGATTAATTTCAAATGAATTTTTATGTATGGTACAAGGAATTACATATATTTTAAAAAACTGCTTCATACATGTCTATCTTTCAATACTCAAAATAACTCCACGGGGTAGATACTAGTTATTTCCATTTCGCAGATGATAAAATTGAAGGTTAGTAAAGCACTTCCATTTATTTATTGAAGGTGACCCAATTAGGCAGAATTAGCTCCAAAACCCATTATGTCTTCGAGGACACAGACACAGTTCTAAGTGTTCCCATATGCCTCTCTTTGGAGTCCTGGTGTGGCACTGTGGGGTAATGTACTGGATTGCAAAGTCATCTTGAATGGCAAAGTCGGCGGTTCAAGTTCACCAGTACCTCCTCATAAACCTAATACAGGGTTACTATGAGTCAGAAGTGACTAGATGGCACTTAACAATAAAAACATGTCAGTGGTTGTCAAACAATAAGCAATGTGACGCCTCAGCCCTAGGCTGGTGGAATGGGTCGGATGGGAGTAACAGCTCCCATTCCTGATAAGATCCCTACTTTCTTGATGGCACTTAACATGCACCCCTCCTCACGATCTATAGGGCTTGGTTAGTTTGGCCCTATTTATTTAGAAGATGGTGGTGTTCAGATCGTGGTGCAAACCCAAACTTCTGCCGTGGAGTCAATTCGGACTCATAGAGACTGTGTAGGACAGAGTAGAACTGACTTCCAGGGTTTCCAAAGCTATTTATCTTTACAAAGGATCCCGGGTTAAGCATTCAGAAAGGCAGGCAGTTTGAACCCAGCAACCTATTTGTGGGAAAACATAGCAGTGGGCTTCCATAAAGTTTGTTGTTGTTAAGTGCTGTGGAGTCTGTTTCAATTCATAGTGACCCTGTACAGGGTTTCCAACGAGCAACTGGTGGGTTTGAACTGCTGACCTTGTGGTTTACAGCCCAGTTCTGATCCTACAGAGCCACACCATTACTAAACTACTTGGAAACCCTTTGGGGCACTTCCACTCTTTGCTAAAAGTTCACTCTGAGTCAAACCTGCTCAAGGCAAGGTAGCGGTTTAAATTCCCGCCCCGCCACCCAACTCATTTTGGTTTAATATTTACCGAAGCACACCTAGCAGATCGCTCAAAGGTTTTTTTCCCCTGAGGAGCAGCTGGTAGGTTGGTGCTTTATAACTGTCTTCAGTGGAACGTTTAACCACTTATGCCACAGGAGCCCTAAAATTCGTGCTGCCTGGTGTGGCGCTGTAGGGTAAGCACTATACTGCTAGCCACAAGGTTAGTAGTTCAAACCCACCAGCCTCACCTCAGAAACCCTATACAGGGTAGCTATGAATGGGAACCGACTAGTGGGCACTTAACAACTAAAACGTAAGCCAGTGGTTGTCAAACACCAAGCACTGAAGGCTCACCCCTAGGCCTGTGGGGGAATGGGCGGATGGCAGTTAACAGCTCCCATTCCCGACTAGATGTCCACTTTCGTCTTTCCCTCGGGCTCTACGGAGCGTGGACAGGATGCAGGAAGGACATCGCTGGCTGCGGCCTCTCAGAGGCTCCGCGGGCGAGACTGGGGATACCTTGCGCGGCGCTCGGCCGGGAGCGGAAAGTTCGCCGGCCCCTGGGAGGGTGGCCCGGGCGCAGAGCCCGCCTCCCCGCGGGATTGGAGGCCCCAGGGCCCCGCCTGTCCGCACCGAGGCTGGCGGGAGGCGAGCAGACGCGCGGCCTGGCGGCGGGGACACTGTGTGCCGGTTAGTGTCTTTCGCTCGGGGGTCCCAGGGCCAGGGCGTGATGCCGGCGCGTCTGCGCCCTCTTCCGGGATGGGCCAGGGAGGAGCTGCCCTTAGGGGCCTGAGAGGTCGTAGTTTCCGCAACTGGTTCTATGCTTTTTTCCTAACTCAGAACCTTTCCTAACTTGGCGCTCTTTTCAACTCGCAATTCCCGGAAATATGGGTCCGGTTAAGTACCTAAGGCTGCAGTCCGAGTTACAGGCGGGAAGGAGCGAAGTTTCTCATTTCTTCGGTCCGGAGAGAACTCCAGGCGGGGAATTGGCCACCAGATCGGTGGATTTGCTAGTAATGCTAACTGGGACAGGCCCGGGATACCGGAACCGCCGAGGAGGGGCCGGAACGGCGGGCTGGAGGCCGCGATGAACAACTCCCACCGGGATCCCGGGGCCAGTCTCCGAGGCCCAGCGAGCCCAGGCCTGACACGTGCTAAGGCCCCTGGGTTGTGGTTTGCTCCCCGGAAGCGCGTGGTTTTCCTTTTTCATCACTCTAGGAAGTGACCAAGAAGTAGAAGGGATAAGCCATGCCTGCTTACTGGCCGTGGCAGAACTTGGGATCCACCACCAGGCTGTGTATTTTATGTTTGGTGGTGGTGGTTGTGTGCCGGTTCTGACTTATAGCGACCCTGTACAGGGTTTCCGAAGCTGTGAATCTTTACAAGAGCCGAAAGCCTCATCTTTCTCCCGCTGAACAGCTGGTAATTTCAAACTGCTGACCTTGCGGTTCGCAGATCGATTCGTAACACTATGCTACCAGAGGTCCTTATTTTATATTTAGGGTCTCCTTTTAGGTCTTAAGTTCAAATGTCACTGACACTTTCCATAACAATTCTTTAAAATTTTTTTTTTTAACTTTTCGTAATTTATTAGAAAGTATCATCTACCCTGTCCAGTCAACACATACATACTGTATTATTGAACAAGGGGAAGCCCCCCAAAAAACCTTGCTTGTTTTATGATACAGTTTAGTTCACTGTCTAAATGTCCAGCTTCACTTGTGAGTCTTGTCAGGGTTGTTGGACTTTTCTGCTGTGTTTTATCACCTGGGGGTTAAGTGAAAGACAACAGAATCCTGGATGATAGTAAGGTGTCCTAAGGAGTAAACTATGAACCTATTGAAGGGAACAGAAACGTCTTGGGGAAGAGGAAAGATCATAGAACGAAAACTTGACATTAGATATATAGTGTGTTCGCTTACATATCTATATATATGTGTATTCTGTTAACTTTTGTTTCAAAAACAGTCATCGGTTTTTATTTATTTATCTGGAAATACTTAGAGAACCATAGCTACCTTCACATTTAAATTCGTTCCAGGCATATATGTTGGTATATTTTGTTTTCTCTTAAGTTTTCTCTCTTGCCTCAAAATCTCACATTGAAATCCACTTACCTGTGTAAATGATAAGAATTGATTAAAGTTGTGTGGCTATACATACTATGAAGACTTAAGGAGCTCTGCTAGCATAATATTTACCAGTCGGGCTGTTTAACCTTTAAGTCAGCAGTTCCAAACTACCAGCCATTCCAAGAGAGAAAGATGAGGGTTTCTGCTCCCATAAAGATTTACAGCCTCTGAAACACTATGCATCAACTCCGCAGAGCACCACCACCACCACTATGGAGACTAAACAATTACGAATACCCACTCTGTAAGATGCTCTCATTGGTGGTGATGCACATTATTGTAGTCTCTGTCTTTCGAATTGAAAGCAGTATATATATTCTTTCCTAGTGACTGATGATCTTCTGAATGAAAATGATTCTCAATGAAAATCCACTCAAAGCCATCCAGTGATTCTGACTCATAGCTAACCATTTTAGGGTTTCTGAGATTAAATCTTCAGCAGACAACCCTGCCAACTTTGAGGGTAACAACCCATTATGTCACCCACAGTGCCACTAGGACTCCTCAATGAAAGGAGTATTTAAATGTATGTGAAATTTATTTTCAATTTGCCTTTGAAAGTTAAGTCACTGTTTCTTAAAGTGTATTCTGCACTTTAAGTACCGTGGAGTTGGCTCGGGCTCAGAGCGCCCTGTACAGGGTTTCTAAGCAGCATCTGGTAGATTTGAAAGGCCAACCTTGTGATTAGCAGTCTCGGACTTATATTACAGTGCCACAAAAAAAGTTGCTCCTGAGTTGATTCTGATTCATAGCAACCTCATGTGTGTCACAGCAGAAGAGGACCTTTGTCTGTAAGGTTTTTAATGGCTGTGATTTTTCAGACGTTGATTGCTAATTTTGAGGAGTCTTACCTGCCACCTTTTGGATTAGCAGAGCACTTAACCTTTTGTGCCACCCAGAGACTCCATTGTTGTTGTTAAGTACCATCAATGCCATCAAGTCTGTTCTGACTCATAGCAGTCCTGTATAGATGTCTAACAAGCAACTGCTGCATTTGAACTGCCGACCTTGTGGTTAGCAGTCCAGTATTTGTTCTACAACACCACACTGGGGTTCCAGAGACTCTATTGTTGTTGTTGAGTGCCATATAGACCCCTAAATGAATTTTGGAAATGATGCCTAAAATAAATTGAATAGGTTTATTTGCTTGTTTGTATTTCTTAAATCAGTTGTCTTAGAATTTAGTAGTGTATGTGGAGCTCCAATTAGAATATAGTATCCAGACTTTCTCAAACCCAACAGACCTCAGCATCCCAATTTCAAGAAATCTGAGAAAATTGCGCCATCAAAGTTGTGTTATATACTAAAGAGTTTTTTTTTCCCCAATTTTTGTTTTTAATTACTTATCCCACCTCTTCCTTCAACAGAAGTGATGCCTCCAAAAAGAAATGACAAATACAAACTTCCTATTCCCCTTCCAGAAGGCCAGGTTCTGAATGATACAGAAGGCAAACGATGGATGCTTGGGAAGATGATTGGCTCTGGAGGATTCGGATTGGTGTATTTAGGTAACGTATAACTGTAAATCATCAGGTGTTCTTATAATGTGACTCTGACTGTAATTCCATAATGCTATTTTAAAAATTGAGACTTTGAAATGGATAAGTGAAATTCATAAAAATACTTCAAGTAATATGAAGATAGTTAATATAGAGTAAAACGTCCAGGTTCAAGATTTGTGCGACATCACCCCTGTTTTCCATGTTTTTCTGAATGAGTCTTAGCAGTCTTGTAAGAGCACAGTTACACAACCTGCCAGACGAAGTGCTAACACTTTTTTTAAAGATTGTTTTCCTAGAAACGTTTCTTGTTGCAACTCAGGAACTCCACTTGTATAAATACAAACACTTTCCATTTGTGAATCTTAATCATTAATGTTTAAGTAATACAAGGGTCTAGGTGTTTCTTAACTAGGCTCCACTAGAGAATTAAACCTTAATGCCTCCAGGCATCTACTTCATGAAATGAATTAACTTCTCTCCTGGGACTCTGCAGTGATGCTAGTTATGTGCCGGCTTTGGGATCATTGAGAAAATAGACATTGAAACTATTTTCTGCGTTCTGTGGTACAGATGAACTCTGCTGGCTTGATTGAGAAAATTCAGAAATCGTATCAGAAGGGATAGTCCCTGGAGAAGGACATTATGCTTGTTAATTTGGAGGGTGAGAGTAAAAGAGGACTACCCCCAACAAGATGGTTTGGCACAGTAGCAGCAGCAATGGGCTCGAGTATAGCAATAATTGTGAGATTGGTACAGGACTGGGCAGTGTTTTGTTCTGTTGTGCAAAAAGTCGCTATGAGTCAATACTGACTCGTCGGCACCTACCTGCAACAAATCAGTTCTGACTCCTAGTGACCTACACACAATGGAATGAAACACTTCCTGGTTAGGCAGCATCCTCACTATTGTTGTTACACTTGAACCCATTGCTGCTGCCACTATGGCAGTCCATCTCAATGGGTGTCTTCATCTTTGTCACTGACCCTGCACTTTGCCAAGCATTATGTCCTTCTCCAGGGACTGGTCCCTCGTGATGATAACATGTCCATCCTGGTTTCTAAAGCGCATTTTGGCTGCACTTCTTCCAAGACAAATCTGTTTGTTCTTCTGGCAGTCCATGATACTTTTAATATTCTACTGCAACACCATAATTAAAAGAAACCAATTCTTTTATAGTCTTCCTTATTCATTTCCAACATTCACATGCGTATGAGGCTATTGAAAATACCATAGCTTGGGTCAGATTGCCTTAGTCCTCAAACTGACATCTTTGTTCTTTACACTCTAAAGAGGCCTTTGTAGCAGATTTGCGTAATGCGATACGTTGTTTGATTATGTGACTGATTCCATGATATTGATACTACTTTAAAGTCATATTTAAATTAAAAATTACATGTATACATATGTAGGAGCATGGTGTCTCCATACGATAAACACTGAACTGTGAATTAGAAGGTCACAGTTCAAGCTCACCAGTTGCTCCATGGGAGAAACATGAGGCTTTCTGCTTCTGCAAAGATTTAAAGCCTCAGAAACCCTATTGTTGTTAAGTTTGTAGAGTTGGTTCCAACTTATACTGACTCTGGTTAGGGTTTCCGAGGAGCGGCTGGTGAGCTTGAACAGCTGACCTTGCAGTTCATACTTACTTTACAGTCAAGTGCACTAACCCACAGCACCATACCAGGACTCCCAGAAATCCTATACAGGGTTGCTGTGAGTTGGAACCCACCTGACGGCATTTAAACAAAAATACCATATACATATGTGTCTGTGCACACATACTCAATTTGTATGGTTTCTGTTATGAAAGGAAATATGCAAGGGAGCTTCAAAAAATTTCTGGAAAAATTCTGTTATCTTTTGAATACCATTTTTTCACAAACTTTGAATCTCCCTCTAAATTTGTCCAGACATATAAGTATTCATATTCAAATGCAGTAAAAAATCCTGCTTGTTTTAAGTGCATGTCATAGATTTCTTTACTTGATGTTTCTCATTACCAAAATATTTGTTTTGCAACGTATTTCATGGTTCCATATGTTATGTGGAGTCCTGGTGTGGCACTGTAGGATAAGCACTGGACCACAAGGTCTGCTTGAACCACCGGGTCAGTGATTCAAACTCACCAACCGCTCTTCAGAAGTCCGATGTAGAGTTGTTATGAGTCAGAACTGACTCTATGGCGCTGAACAACAGTAACAACATAGGTTACACAGTACCCCATACTATCTGGATTTTACGACCTTGACACTTGCACTGATAGCTTGTGCACACCATTGGGGAAAGTTTTTAAAGAAATGTTTAACTATTTTAAGAAAAAAGCTTTATGCTTAAAATATATAATAAAGCTGTTTGTCCCATATGTCATGTTGTTGTTGCTAAGTGTCATTGAGTTGGTTCCGATCCTTAGCAATCCTGTATAGGGTTTCCAAGGAGCAGCTGGTGAGCTTGAACCACTGACCTTACAGTTCAAATCGTCTTCGCAGTCCAGTGCATGAACCCAAAGCGCCACACCATGGTGTCATCAAAATTGGTGCTAATAAACCATGGAATCACATCTTTAGTGAGATTCTTTCAATAACAACTCCATTAAACTTAGTTTTTACTGATTTTTTTTTAATAATTATCGGTGGCACTGTAGGATAAGTACTGGGCTGCTAACTACAAGATCGGCGGTTCAAACCCACCAGCTGATCCATAGAAACCTATACAGAGTCATTGTGAGTCAGATTTGACTCCATGGTAGTTAACAACAACAACAACAAGCAAATCTGTGAAATTAGGTTATGTTGTTGTACTGCAACTCCTCACTTTCTGTATGTATAACTGAAGCAGCAGGTAAATTCCTGTTTTCTTTATTACATTTATATCCAGCTACATTCTTTTTAGGTGTTATTTTTTCCCAGCTACGGTGTTTCTGACAGACACTTCATCAGCGCTTGTTGCCTAAGGCTGAGAAGAAACTAGCTGCTGTAGCTAACTGATTGTGCATATACAACTGTCCTCTAGCTTTGAGATCAATAGCCAAGGCCTGTCAGTAATCAGCAACTTACAATAAAGGGGAAAGAGCAGAGGAGTTTTGTATTTATTCATAACTTGGAGAAATAAAGTGCCTGTAGCATTAATAGAAATAGTTATAAGGGAAATGAAAAGTCTGAGTACAAAGAGAAGGTCAAGGTGCTTTCTTTGATATAAAAAGGGGATGGAAGAGTAAGAAAGGAAAGTGGTTTGGGGGAAGGTAAATATTGCTGTCATTTTAGGATCACATAAGTGAAAAAGTTTCTGAAAACCTAAGAAGAGAGAATTGAGGGTTTTGGATTCTGTTTTAATGCTTTAAGAAGACTGGATAAGACTAAATAAAGTATTATAATGAAATGCTCAAGGACCTGGAGTTAGAAAACCCAAAGGGGAGGAAGATAGATATTCAATATTTCCCAAACTGAAACATTTAAGAACTCAAGAGAAAATTCAAGCCTCTATTTGCAATATTGAGAGCTCTGGTAGGGTAGTGGTTACGAATCAGGCTGTGAACCGCAAGGTCAGCAGTTCAAAACTACCAGCTGCACCACAAGAGAAAGATGAGTCTTTCTGCTCTTGTAAAGATTTACAGCCTCAGAAACCCTGTATAGGATTGCTAGTTGGAACCGACTCCACGGCACATAACAACAACAACAACATTTGCAATATTGAATTATTCTATGTGTTGGTTGTTTGGTGTGGAGGAGTGGCTCTCATTTAGAGTGAGCAGGGTGCAGGGCCAAGTCTGGATGGATCACTTTCAATCTCCTTTTGAAACTCTGGAAGTATAGTGGTTATGAGTCGGACTGCTAACCTCAAGGTCAGCAGTTTGAAACTCCCAGCTGTTCCATGGGAGACAGATGAGGCTTTCTGTTCCCGTAAGAATTTACAGCCTCACAAACCCTATATAGGGTCACTATGAGTCAGAACCAACTCCGCAGCCCACCACAACTAACACAACCAGCCAGTGGGTAAAAAGCTGAATGACACAGGCAGCATCATAAGAAGATGGAAGGAGTACGAAGTCATTGTACCAAAGAATTGGTTGAAGTTCAACAATTTTAGAAAATGCTGTTTGATCAAGAGCTGATGATATTGAAGGAAGAAGTCCAAGCCGCACTGAAGGTGTAAGCTAAAACAAAGCTCTGGAAACTGATGAAATACTACTTGAAATGTTTCAACAAACATACGCAGCACTTGCCTATGCCAAGTTCTCACTTGTCTATGCCAAGAAATTTGGAAGACAACTACCTGGCCAACCAGTTGGGATAGGTACATATTTATGCCCATTCCAAAGAAAAGAGACGTAACAATGTGGAAGTTATCAAACAATGTCATTCATGGCAAATGCAAGTAAAATTTAATGAGGATAATTATTTTTTTGCTTGAACATCATCAAGAAGTACATTTCAAGATGTATCTTGAAGTACAGCACTGTCTGTGATAGGATAATATTCATAAACTGGCTAGGAAGATTAGTTAATACTACTACTATTCAAATTTACCCACCAACCACTAAAGCCATTGATGAGGCAATTGAAGAATTCTACCAATTTCTTCAGCCTGAAATTGATCAAACATGCCATCAAGATGTATCGATAATTACTGCTGATTCAAAAGTAAGGGCTGGAAACAAAGAGGAAGAGTCAGTAGTTGGAAAATATGCCCTGGGTGAGAAAAATGATGCTGGAAATCCCGTGATAGAATTTTGCAAGACCAATGGCTTAGTCATTGCAAGTACCTTTTTAAAAACAACGTAAAAAGAATTTATACATGTAGTCCTCAGCAGGTGGAATACATAAGAATCTAATTGATTACATCTGTGGGAAGAGATGGTGGAAGAGCTCTATATCATCAGCCAAAACAGTTAAGGGCAGAGTGTGGACAGACAATCAATTGCTCATATGCAAATTTAGGGTGAAGCTGAAAAAAATTAAAACAATTCTATGAGAGCCAAAATATGACCTTGAACTTATCCCACCTGAATT